ATAAATTTTGTAATTTTATTTTATTTTATTTTAATTTTAATAAAAGATTATTCGTCCTCTCATTGACTCATCCTATCCAAACACACTGGAGTTAGAATTACTCGGTCATCGAATAGATTATTAAACGATTTTAACAGATTCGTATAGAAATCAGTGTGATTAAAATTTTTTCAGATCGTCACTCGCACACATTCTCATTGCTGCATCCAACGCCGATCCGGTCTCTGTCGGACGTCCGTCGACTGCACAGATCGGCCGAGGATAGCGTGCAGCTAATGTCCAGCGAATAAGACGCATTCGTACATGAATCGAGATGGTTCAGTAGCTTTGTCGGCGGTTAAAACTGTGGATGAATAAAGTCTCCGCTCTGCGGGAGAGTTCCCGGAAACGGAGTGCGTCCACGAGAGCACTCGAAAACTCCTCGACGGCCATGGCGGTTCGCCTGAAGAGCAAGTCTCGAGAAAAGAAAGGTTCTTCGGAAGTACTTCGAAAAATCGTATCGGAGGTGACGTACAGGTTTGTTTGGATAGAAAGCGAGAAACTTCCCCGAAATGATTAGAAATATTTTACGTGAACAATTCACGAACCGAGAGACATTTTATATAAGTATTATCCGATTTCTTCGTTAGCTCCTTCGCTGAAGAGGCGATGCCGTATTTGTAAAGTTAAAACACCAGAATCGTTTTGTCTTTCTAATTACATTTGGATAAGCAGCGAGTGAATCGCAGCTCAGTTAAAAGGATCAACTAACAAGGGAAGATTCCCAATCGACAAATTAATAAGATTATAAAATTTTAGACACACGTGCTACGTAATTCCTTCTATTGTAATTTATTTTAAGAGGGTAGAGAAGACCCTTCGATATTAAATTATTTAAAGAAAACGCAACACATTGATCTACCTACACACTTCCAAAGTTTCGTAATTTTTCGAATTTGCGAACGAAGTATCTTTCCTTGTAAGGTATCCTATGTCAATGAAAACTGTATGTTTTCTCTTAAGGTCGCGTTTTTCGCGAAATCGTAGTCTGATACAGTGGACAACCGAGCCTAGTATTTGCATAAAATTACGTACATACAATAACGATCACCAATGTTCAAGCACACACGATAAGGCCTACGTTCGATCGAAAACGACTATCTATCTTTACATATTGTCGACAGATTGTAACATTTCCGACTTCTCAAGACGCGGTAATTAGAGAAGCATCACGCGCTCGTGTTTCAAGTCAATTCCTAGATCCAAATACACGTTCTCGTCTCTAATGAGTTTCACTCACGCAACTAAACGAGGGACATTAATAAAGTGAAGCTTTGTTTCTTAGAATAGTTGTCGTACCAGTGACAATTGCAGTTTAATTAGCAGAACGAAGAACTTCACGTTTAAAAATTCTGATCATCGACACGACTTACGGTGCATATAATGCATCGTCGTATTTACTATTCTACTTTTAACTCTTCTGGTTTGGCAAGTGTTGAATTACCGTCGGAGGAAAAATGCTTGGACACCATCGGAAATCGTTATTTTTTACGATGCTATCTAAATCTTGGTACGATTATGGAAGTAATATACACGGTTTTTATAATATTGCAAAATTTTTATAGAAATGGCAACAGGTGTCACTTCGTAATTGTGCCTCGTAATAATTCTTGCCACTACTACCTACTACGAGTAATGAAATCGATGATACTACATAAATATGTTTTTACGATAATTAATATCGTGTTGCAGTGGAAATTTTTCATGTAAAAACCATACAAGAGATGTAATCAAGATAGAATACTTGTTTTCAATTAATTATGTGATATTCAAGATCTTCTGATTACTCCATCAAGGATTGTCCAAATATTTTGTACATATACACAACTAATAGGAAACCTATATTTGTTTAAAATTTGTCAACCTGATAGGCAGTATCATTGTAAACAATATTGTTTGCGATTGTTATAAAAATATTTTCTTGTCCCGATCGCTTTAATCGAATCGAAAAGTACGTATGTATTGCCGAGCTTACATTGTTGTTATTGTTATTAATGTATACTTATTCTGCACAAATTATTTTCTATGAATGTGCACATTTTCGACGCCATCAAGTTAATATTATATGTATGTACACATAAATAGTGTATTTGAATTTCTCTTTTGAACTTCGTTGTACAGGATTGTAATTGATGAATATTTATTATCTACTGAAATGAAGAGTATTCACTGCGCTGACGATTCATTTGATAACTACGTAGGCCTGAACGTAAACAACAAACTATATAGATGTTGTAACGATAGTAAGTGCAGAAAATTTTTTTACACAGACAGTGGAGAGAGCGTTTGCCAATATCCGACGTGGATTTTAATTGCATCGTTCCGAGTTGAACTATTTTTTTAATTTCGTAAGAGCACAAACGCTGGGTGATGGAAACTTAATTTGAACTCCGGTCGTATGCGTAGACCGTATGTTCTTCATATCGCTATTTGACGAACTATTCTATTTGTACTTTGTACATGAGGTTGTCTAGAAAATACTTCAAAAACTATTGTGAAAGAAATGAATAGCAGTTTCTTAAAATCGACACTGCAATTAGAACAGAGTTGAATATGAACTCTGTATAAAATTTTGCATGAAATAAAGATGACTAGAGACTAGCGAATAATTGAGATTTCATTTATATAAATGAGATTCGAATAACGAATTTATACGTGTAACTAATTAGGATTATTTATTCGTTATTCGAATATTCGTCAACCTCCGAATCACAGACGGCTAGTTAACAATAATTAATATCACGGTTAACGAAATGTTACCAGGGTTTATACGAAATTTTCCAAACCAGTAGCGCGTAAGAATGAGAAAAGGATTTAGACAGTTATTAACGATTATTATTATTACTATTTATAGTGTCCAATTGACTTGGCCATTGAGAATTGAGATTATTTCTATTAATATGTACGATACCATTAGATACACTGTACACGTGTATTAGGGGCTCGAGACAATTTTGTCTTCGCTTCCGATCGGAACAGAAGTAAAAATAAAAAGTGAAAAAAAAAAATTAGAACTTATATAAGTAATGTAATCTAGTCGAATGTAACATAATATACCGAGGACTGTCTTACCACTTTTAAGCGAACAGTTGAACGAGAACTTGTTCGAATAAATGTCCGAGTGTTGAACGAATAGTCAACGATGATGAAGCTATTACGTTGGGAGTATTACACATTACTAATCGAGTTGAAGTTATTTTTTATCAGGAAGCGACGTTGAATATTACAATAAACTCTCGACTTTACGGATTTTTATCTAGATAGATTTCAAGCTCAGCAAACCGAACTTTGTAAACCTTTTTTATACCTTCGATATCAACGTCAATGTTTCTTCAAATCTTGGATATTCGACGACTGTTACAGTTAATTAATCCTTAAAATCAAGGGTTTACTGTATTCAGGTTAATAAAGTCTCATTTTGGGTTTCATCTAAGTTTAAAAGTTTTATGAGGTCGCATTCTCGCATTTATTAGTTCGGTAGTAAGACAGGAGATTTTAACAAGATAAATTAGACATAAATTTTAAGTCGCGAGGGTAAACTGTATATTACTTGTTGATAGAAATTAATACTTTATTTTAATATATGATTGTAAAGTACTTGTTTAGATTATTTTGTCGCTGTTGTCATTTGTTAATTGATCTGTGAAATTTTATGCTGCGCAAAATAATTATTAAAATGAACCTTTGTTCGTTTGAATTTTTATCGAAATAAAAGTTTGATTCTTTATACATTTGAATGAATGTTCCTTTCCTGTCATCAAGGTATGCAGGGAAGACCCGAAAGATTTGGCGTTCGCCAAGTAGATGCATATCGATGCACCTCCGCTAAATGCTCTTATTCCGACAACGAGTCAAGTTTAGAATAGATAAAACTGGAAATAGTCAGTATTGGGCACATGGTGTGCTTAAGTATGCTTGAGCGTGTCTGAGCGTACTTGAGCGTACTTGAGCGTGCCTCAGCGTGCCTGAGCGTTTCTGAGCATTTCTGAGCGTTTCTGAGCGTGCTTGAGCTTCCCTGAGCGAGCTTGAGCGTCCCTGAGCGTGCTTGAGCGTTTCTGAGCGTTTCTGAGCGTGCCTGAGCATCCCTGGGCGTGCTTGAGCGTGCCTGAGCGTCCCTGAGCGTGCTTGAGCGTTTCTGAGCGTCCCTGAGCGTCCCTGGGCGTGCTTGAGCGTCCTTGAGCGTGCTTGAGCGTGCTTAAGCGTCCCTGAGCGTGCTTGAGCGTCCTTGGGCGTGCCTCAGTGTCTCTGAGCGTTCTTGAGCGTCTTTGAGCGAACATTAATTTATAATGGGGAGAAGGACGGAATTGAGAGGGAAACAGCCGTCAGTCGGCTGCGTGCCGCTTGGATTTTAACGCATCAGGAGCAAAAGCGACGGACTTATGTTTCGCCTTCTCTCTCGACTGAGCCGAAGTTGAGCCGAGCTCGCAGCACACGGATAGAGTGCGATAGTGTGCGTAAGTGGAGGGGCAGATTCTCGGTGGCCTGGCATCTCTGTACCTTACATTGGAAATAACCTCATAATCCCGATGATAAGGGTTACGATGTTTTCGGTTTCATAGGGTAACAACTATTTATAAAACGAGCTAATCCATTGTGTGCCATTTAAAATGGTAGAACACTCGTTAACAGCATCAGGCCCTCAATAACTCACCGCGTATCTTAGCGTTAATTACTGCGATTACTAATTCCGTGATGAAGCAAATATATCTCTGAGATCAGTGTCCCGCCTTCGTTTAAAATTTTTTCGCATCTCTTCGACCATGGTAATTCACAATTAGTACACGTGAAACTTTAAACGCTCGGTAGCTTTTTAAATAAACATGCTTCGTTTAACTATTTCAGGCTCTTTTAGGAGCTCAACTAGTTATCACCCTGATTATGGTCAGTGTCATTCAGAAATTGACTCCTCATTTCTCTTTGGCAAGATGGTTTTTATGTTCTACTGGGTATTCCATCAACTTATGCATGAATGTAAAAATATCATTAAGTATAACATTTATTAAGAATTTTGCAATCATTCGACAGGTTGACACGTTATTTGTGTCCAACTGATCAACAGCTTAGAACTCTTGCTGGTGTGCCTAAGGAGAAACCCAAGAAGGGCAAGCATGTAGAAAACGGAAAGGTTGGAGATGTTTTTCATGTTCCTAGAAATTTGAATGTTACACTCGAGAGTGCTAAGATAGCTGCATTAGACGTGGTACATTTAAAATATTATAATGATTATCAATGGTTATTGGATTTTTCTGTATATGCTACTGCAGTTTATATTATGACAGAGGTTGGTGAACTATGCTTTTTCTTTTTTAGTATTTAGATCTGCATAATATCCTCTAATTATATTTATCTTGTCAATCAACAGGTATACAATTCTTTATATCCAATCAAAGATGAAATTAATTTAAGTATGCTTTGGTGCTTGTTAGTCTTGGGTTTTGCATTGTATCCTTTTTATGGTTGGTCTCTGCCACTAGAAATGTATGTCTTCTTCATGTAACATGCTTTCCTTAATTCAGCATTCAGCAAAGTGTTACTTTCTCTCTGGGTACAATATTTCAAAGGAGAGGAGAGCATAGGTGAAAGATCTACATGCATTGTAACTGGATCTGCTTATCTTGTCATAGCTATGATGATTCTCATTGTAGATGAGAATACTCTTGAAATCGGTTTAGACAAGGCTTATGCAAGTTTTAATCATAGCGCATCCCTCTTTCTAGACAATCAAGGTCTTTCCTCTACGTAAGTTTATCAGACTTTGAATTTAGGCAGAAATGTTCACGTGTTATCTGTTCTAATAACTGCTTATTCTTTATAGAGGACCTGCATCGAAAGTTGTGGTCAAATTCTTCCTTGCTTTGTGGTGTGGTTTAGTTGGTTCTTTATTTACTTTCCCAGGACTGAGAATATCGAAGATGCATTGGGATACATTGAGGTACTAGGACTAAAACGAGTTACCAAAATATCTTCTAATCATTGGTACAATAGTAAATGTTACGTTTTACAGATATTACAAAGATCAGAGGTTATTATTGTTGTTAGCAAATATTAGTTACGCCTCTCCACTTATATTAGTGAGTTTATGGATTAAGCCTATAAGCAGACATTACCTCACAGTCAGAGTGTTTAGTGGTATGAATGGACCACTGTAAGTTTTAAACATAATTACTGTAAACGTCTATAACTATACACGATTCCATATATATGGAGGCATTTTTGCAGGATGACAACGTCAGGTTTTGAGAGTATGAGATTAATCGCAATTATTATTGCAGTTCTATTAAGATTTATTCTAATGCCAGTGTACTTGCAATCATACCTCAACTTAGCTGTGCAACGATTGGAGAATCAAAAGAAAGAAGCTGGTAGAATTACGAACGTGGACTTACAAAAAAAGGTATCAACACTATACATAAAACATTTGTTTAAAGAAGATCTGGATTATCACGTTTTATACTCTGTTCCAGATTTCTGCTGTATTTTATTATCTGTGCGCCGTTACCCTACAATTTATCGTACCGATAATTATATGTTTATTTTTTACATTCATGTACAAATCTTTAGGTAATACTAAATGCTAAGAAAAAAACTTCGATTGTAAACAGTATTTTACAAGTATGTTCGTAACTTAGGTGGTTATACATGGAATGGCTTTTTAAGAGGATCATTGCTCGAAGAATGTTCAGCTGACGAAGCATTAAAATCTACAGCTAACGTAAACAGAGATGATAATGAGAAAACAGTTGTTCAAACGGCACAAGACTTTCAACTTGCTCTCAGTTCCTTCAAACAGGTAATGTCCGCAATATAATTTTTCATTATTCTTATAACTCTATGCTTTTCCTCTCCGACAGATATTTACCACGGATGTATATAGAGGATTATTAGGCTTAGCAACATGGTGGAGTTGCTTCGCGTTGTTCGCGACATCCGCCATGGGTATGCTTTACCAGTCGTACTTCTCTGGTATGTAAAACGATACGAGGGGATTAGTCAACGTCATTTCGCACAAATTTATGTCGTCTTTTACAATTGGGTTTTCGATATCAAAACCGTCAGATTATTTAATAAACTTGTCTTAAAAGTGACTTGAATTTTTTGTACCTACATCGAGGTACGCACAATACTGGCTGTCCAACAGAAACTTAACAAATTTTATATACCTGATAATGAGAATGCTTTATGATCTGTATAAATATTATATCGAAATTAAAGTGAAGAAGTAGATAATCGTGGATTTACGTTGTGGTCCTTTTATCACGTATTGTATATAATATGTAACGTTTATACACGTAACAATTTAGATACTTTATACTCCGAAGTATTATAATGAACGTTTTCCAATTAAAAAGTAAACAAGGCTTCTGAATATGTACGAAACATAAAATACAATCAAACACTGCCAGTAAAATAAGCTAATTCATATTCCATGAACGACATAACTCATTACAATTAATAACTCGACTGCGTATAAGCTCCGCGTTAGGTCAGCTGAAAGCAGCTTTCATCGATAATGTTACGATCATAGGTGAATCGAATACAAATATTTCACTGCTTCATTCGCTCTAATAGCACGTAACTGAAATCCTGTATATATTTCTGTACAAATTATTCATTAAAAATTTCTGTACAACAATTCACACTAATTTTATTGCTGAGATCATTGATCTTTAATCGAAAGTCTGCTGAATGTAGTCGAAAAGATTACTCTCTTTGCTCTTGTAGCTGTTTAGGAATCTGATTACTGTGTACTGCGTGATATCATAAGCGATCTAGTAAAGGGGAAAAAGTTTATCGAACGATTGCTATTCATGAATTGTGCCACCTTGGTATCTTGGAGAAAGTGTGATCGTATGTTTGAAAATGTGTCGATGCGATGCTACTCACGTATCAACCTGGCCGCTTCCGCGATATATAACTCCCCACGTAGTGTCCTCACATCAGAATAGCGTGATTTTCGTTGGTGGTGATACGGTCGTTCGTTCTCCGAAAAGTTCTTACAGAATCGCAACATGTGGGTAAGTGTACGATTCCTTTACATTTTCCCTATACATTCTAATAGGCATTATCATTTTCAGAAATATCTAGCGTTTTTCGGTATAATGTTTATTTCGGCATTCGCCGAACCACCTGTTCAAGGTGTAAGGGCAACAAATGTGCTCGGTACTTCTGATCAACACGCGTCTTTCAGTTTTGTCAGGCCAGGTTTAACGCAAACAGCATTCGCTTTCAGCGGTCCCAGTTCTCATCAATCGTTTAGTTCCAATATAGGAAATCCTTACTTGGCACAAAGAGTTCTACCAAACATCGCTAGTGCTCTTGCTTATAGAAATCCCGGTTTAGGTTTGTAACACGCAACGTATATCATCATTATTTACGGTACAATTACGTCTAATATCTATTATCATATGTTAGGTGTATTTCCGACTGGGTCAATCGCACACGGTTATGCAACAGCACCGGTCGCTGGACCTACATTCGTCTCCGCTGCACAAGCACCGTTACCATATCAAGCATCGATTGATCCAGCTACTTTAGCTTATTATCAACAATTACAACAAATTCAACAACCCCAGGTACAGGCTTACTCTGCGGCTAACGCGTACCAAGCGCAATTAGCGCAATTACTCGCATATGGACAAGCTCAAGCTCAAGCTCAAGCTCAAGCTCAATCTCAGGAGCATGTACAATCGACGCAAGCACAAGTAAGAACAATATACTAGAATGTACTTCGTTACGAGACGTGAATTTAAATACGATTTCTGTTTAATAGTAATCGTCCGCAGGTGCCTGAACAGATTCAATTGCAACAAGAGGAACAGCAACAAGAAGAACAACAGTCTCAAAACTTATTAGGCGTTGCCTATTCGTCGGCACCTTCGGTAGCGCGAGTGAAAGTATCCGGAAATGGCTATAAATTTAACTTCTAAAATCTATAAACTGTACAGTAACAGTTATATAGTTCTATATTTTGTACCAGTCATAGTATATTTATTTATTTATCATAATCTCATGCATATATGAAGAACTTTTTATACGAATGGCTTAATAAAGTTATCTTACGCATTCTAATTGCCTTGAGTTTTCTTATTTCTTAAGAATCCAGTTTTAAAAAAATATTTCATACACTGTATAATATTTCTACTGACATTTAAAAAAGAAACTTAAGCATTTGGAAGGCCCGGAGGGATGCAAAGCTCCAATAAAAGAAAAAAAAGGAGCCTTTGACCCCGACGTGATTTGAACACGCAACCTTCTGATCTGGAGTCAGACGCGCTACCGTTGCGCCACGGAGTCTTGGTACCATCGATTTATTTAGAAGGAAATACTTTCGTTTGTCTTATGTACTAAAAATAATTTACACTTGCACACCTACATAAAGTTGATGTTAGCTAATAGAGAATGCAGAAGCAGTTTCCATCAGCATTCATCTTCATGTTCCATATGTTACACGTAAATCAGTGTGCATATTAGACATGAAACATGATAGTGAAAGTATAAGCTTCTTCTATAAAGGAGACATACGAGCCCCATTTGAAACAATGGGGTGTGGATGCCTTGTTTATAGAGAAGGGCAATATGTATCTCCAATTTTGCATAGGTACTGTGTATTCGCGAATTCTACCGTCAATCAAAAGAAAAATGAGACAAACTAAGAAATTTCTGTAATACAGTTAGAACTGCCAGTCATAAAATCATAAATCAAAGATAGAACACTTCAAACCCGAACACTCTTAATGCCTTTCATTAATGTTGGGTACTATATTCCAAGGCAAAAATTTCTGCTAATTATAAATTATAACTACAATCAAGGAATAAAGATAAAATATGCATTTCATTCTTATTAATAACAAATCTAAGGAATTTCATTCTTTCCATTGTGATATTATTGAAGAAATTCTCTTGACATAGTATTGTGGGCAGTATCAAAATACCCAGATCGTTATAAAATCTACCCTATCCCAAGGAAACCCGAACGGGTGGCAAGATACAATATATGTGTTCGTAAATAGACTTCGATGAAACAACGTGCTTACACACGTGGTGCATGCTCACATCCCGCATGCAAGCACTGATTTATCCGAGCAACATATCTTAGGAAGCTGTTTCTCTCCCTACGTTGAAAAGAGTTTCGCGCGGGTTGTCTCACAAAGCCCCTCCTAACACCAGGATATCATGTAGACGTCGCAACGTACGTCAGCAAGTATGGCATGGTATTACAATATTCCGTCATACCTTGACTTTCGCCCGTGAGGAATTTTTTCAACAGGAACGCATGCAGTCAACAGTAATTTCATGACGACACCGATGGAAGCAAGCGCGCACAGTACACAGTTGAAAACGTGTCTGTATTTATACGCATGTTTCTATACACATAGATATTGCAAGTAGCCGCGTACACAGATCCCCACCATCGTTCCGAATCACATGTTAATTTTAGGGGAAAGCGTAATAAGGTTTGATCCATGTATGGCTAAACGTGAAGAGAATACGATTGTAGATTTAAATCACGAATTGCAATAGGAATAAACGGTTCGAGTGTACGAACGTCTCGTCTTGCGTACGTATGCGAACACAAGAAGGACGTTATTAATTCCAATTTTGGGGAAAAACGGTGTCACTGTCCCGTGATTGCACTTTGATGTGGACAGGTGAGGCTAGAGCACTGACGTAATACGTTATCGAATGGAATTTAATTTGCGGCCAGCCGTCTTTTGTCGGAAACGATAGCGGAGACCCGGAGGTGTATCAAAATTTTCGGCTATGTGGAGCCAACGGTATCGATAAACAATGAAAAGAACCGTACGGACCAATAAATTATTGCTACGTCACAAAGGTGCTTAGGGCCCACGCGGCTCTTCCTCAAAATTGTGTCTTTCCAATCTACGGCAAACATAACGTACGCGAAAGCATCGCGCACTGCATCGAATCCTCGCCACTGTTCATGCATTCCTGTTCATGAATCGGTTAAATTGTTGATTATGTCCATTCTACCCACGAACCACAGATTACTGGAGGTTGTGTGTAAATTAAACAGCTCAGATTATGTCGTACAACGTACGAAAAGCGAACGTACAAACGAAATACCGTAACATAACCATAACATAACCGATTGTGCAACGAAGCTAAATCCTCGAAATCAGAAATTAATTGCAACTCGGAGAATAAGCTTTGCGATTCAATGCCAGCTATCAGATCTCATCATGCATATATAGGATTTGCTAACATACATAAATTGGTATATAGGATTAATAATTGTTTTAAACACTCACCGGATTCGGGAAGAAAACAGCTGCTCACGACGCATGGCACTCCAACCGCAAAGACTGCACACTGCCGCCAGCCATAGTAGACTCGTCCTTCTTCAAGAACATGTTAGCCGAATCCAAGGAGGGGCTAAATGAGACAACCCGCGCGAATATCGCTCAACTGTGCGAGAGAGGAGAAAGGTAGTGTGATTATGGTACCCTGCTACTTCACGTCTTGTGTGCGGGATGTGAGCACGCACTGCACTTCAATGTAAAGAAAATGCGTATTACCTATACATCCTGTGCATCCCTATTCCTATTAAGAAATCGCGATTCCAGAGTTAAATCGGAATTCTAGGTAGCAGTAACCGAGCCACCGATCCTTTTGCTTCTCACACCTTTAACATACACGCGATACATATTAAAAGGTAATATGTGTGTACAAATATCTTCGAGATGCAATTACAGTAGCTTGCTCGTATTATTTCCCACACACACACACTATCCGTTTAACTTTAATCATTTTCTCTCAGAAGACATGCACATTCACATATGCATCACCTTTCTTTGTAACGGTCGTTAGCCAACTGTGGCCAACTGCTGAAAACTGTGCGAGTCACGAGTCACGATAATCACGATATCAGTGTCAGCCTGACTTATTGTCGCTGCCAACATAGAAACACTCTATGCATAATTCGAAAGTGGTAAAGACAAATAGCATGTCCGTCCTGTTTTATTAATTACAATTTAGCACTTTTTTATTATATTAACGATATATTTGTGGCAGTAAATTTCTGGCGCCACGTCCCTGCCAGATCACGGTGTCAATAGACAAAATGCGAGATAAGGAGACAGGATGTTTAGACAAACGAGTCTGGACCTGGACGAGCGCCTCGTGAAGTGTTCACTGTTCACAAAGAACAGTCGCGGACTCAATCTCGAGGCATTAGCACGAGAGTCGCTCGAGAAAAATAAAATCGGTGCACGTAATAATTTGTTACATTATTTCACAACCCGCCAGGGTCTCACATATTAATACATAAATAGTAAAAAGAGGACTTCCCAAGTTCTCTTTATAAGATACTAATAGATAGCATAAGCTGAATGATCTGTGAGATTCAATAGTGTGTGGGATCAATGGAAAAATATGTAGAATTCAATAAAGTGGCGCTAAATTTAATAAAAATCGACGAAAAAGGGTTATCCATGACCCCGACGTGATTTGAACACGCAACCTTCTGATCTGGAGTCAGACGCGCTACCGTTGCGCCACGGAGTCTCGTTAATTACCTTTTCTTCACTAAATTTTCTGGGAAATTAAATACTTCTAATTATAAGGTAATATAAATCAATGTTAAAGATGAGATTAGTGTTCCGGTGAAGGCATTGTGGTAGAAAGTAAGTTAACAAGACGAGTAGCAACATTTAAAATAATCCTTTTTATGTACGAATCGTGAATGACACGAGATACCTTCATGATACCTTATATCCATAGGGTGTGGTCCATGGTGGCACCTTCTGAATGAAACACGTATCAGGTTAACATGTTATTCAGAAGCAGTCCTCCACTTTTTGAATGCACGAAGCCTTTTTTTTCTTTTTTACCCGCTCTGTAGTAAAGACGCATGTAGGCAAAAGGCACAAGTACACGAGAAGCCGTGCAGATGTCATGGTCCACTACGTAGGAGAAAAGAGTAACCTCTTTTGGCATCGTAGCCTCCTGATAGGTGTGAACCACGGCGCCGCGTGCCGACGCAACCCGTTGGACCTTGGACCTTCAAGGGATTCGCTACCACCGGCTTCGTCCGTCGCCGTCGCCGGTCTATGAAGTACGAAGGTTACGGCAAACGTGATACGGAAACTCCTATGCGCGACCGCTGAATTTGCAAAAGGAAATAAAAAGTTTATGGCAGCGGTGGGATTCGAACCCACGCCTCCGAGGAGACTGGTGCCTTAAACCAGCGCCTTAGACCGCTCGGCCACGCTACCTCTTGGAGTCGTCATTCCTCGACAAACGTTACATAGAAATGCCATTAGTATTCGTATAAGATGAAATTTAACGAGATCAAACACTTACAATTAGACGGACATCACACTTCTCATTATTCGTGCTGTAATTTAAGTTATAGTGGTAGTAGTTTAAAACAGGAGCACAGTGAAAAACCAAACACAAGAGAACTCGATAATCGAAATAGTGAGTAAGAACGGATGAGACATCGGAGCTTGTCCTATACCTAACCAAAATCAACCTACGATGTGCGCCCCCGATAACGGATGACGATCTTAAAATAAGAACTGTTCATAAAGATTCAGAGTTGCTGTAACAGTCGAGAAGTCTCGATCTTCACCATCTTTTCCTGTACTTCATTGAAATAACTGACTGTGAGTATCTCTCGTTCTCTAGACACTTGGATCAATTACAGCCACGATTTCCATGTAACAAGTTCTCATTTGATTCTTTTAAGATCGCGGTCGGGAAGATGCCGATGGAGGTGCTCGCGTGTAAAACGGGGTGGGTGGTGAGTAAGTGATCCGTATATAGAAACGCCTCCGCGTTCACCAACACGACTGCACACCTGTCACGCATATATACGCAGCACGGTGGCCGAGGCGCACACTTTTTGTGCTTGAGTTCGACTAAACCTCTACCGGCTTGACGTCGTGAACGTTTTTTGAAATCCGCGGAAGAACACCTACGATCTGAGATGCCTGGACGTCCGCTTTGGCAGGTGAGCTAAATTCCAAGAATTCTCATCCTTTGTACGTGTTCACCGTGTGCTCGTTACGTTTTCGCGCCACAACAACGTAGAGGTTGCACTCTCTCTTAAATTGTATTTATGAATATACGTAATAATTTTTACGTTGTATACGCAATGATTCTTAAATTTGTTTGATCAGTGAGACAGTGTTACTGCATGGACCATTTCTAAACATTATTTTTTAGTTCTCCAACTGTTTTCCTTATGACTTATATAGAGAGTTTTGTTTACATCGAGTTAGACTTTGTGCTGACCAAGACGTGACAAACAAATATGTGAAAAAATTAATATTTTGTGAGAAACTGGAGAAATTTCTTCCCCTTGACATACTGAACATCTATTTCAAACATCTGACTCAGAATACATCTTCGCAATACTTTCAAGATCTTTCGTTAAAGTGCGTCTAATTCTGGAGACGTTATAAATTGAGTCATTCAATGCACTGGTATCTAATTTTGATTTACATCCGGGATTACACAAAGTCATATAAATATAAGCAACAATCATTAATAATGAATATTCGAATATTTTTACTCTTTATGAATATTGCAAACAAGTCAAATTAATTTAATTCTCATCGCAATAATTTTTCTAAAGTATCTTAGAATAAATTAAGAACAGGATATATGTATTATTGCAATATCATAACGCGGATTCACGAATGGGTGTATACCGCGAACATCCAGGAATAGCTCGAAAGCATTCAAACATGCCAAGCTAAGCAAAAGTTTGACTCAAATTTTACACGTACGGTCATATTGAAAAGAGGAAGGGTAAAGAAGTAAAAGAATTTGTGCCGCGATGACGACACAACTCGTGGCACGAGGTTCATTTACAAACAAGTCGTGGGCGTTTCAGTAGCCGACGTGTCAAAATTAACTCCACTACCTTGAGGGTGGATCTGGAAACCGACGAGAAATTGAGCTAACTGGAAACAGCTTTTCCATGGCACGATATTAAAAACTTTATTCAAAGTTAAAGATTTGTTTTATTGATTGAAATAGTAATTTAGGATAAATAATTAATATTAGGCTGGTTCTCCTAAATGATAAGCGACGTTTTAGGAACACGCTCATTATTGTTACATTAATGCTGATGTTTGCCAAGAACTTGGCGTTAAGTAAGGCCTATGCCAGACGAATTTTCAATTTCCCTCGGCCCTTGTTTTTCTAACATTGCGGAGAAAATAGCAGCCAACTGAAAGTTAGAATGTTCCATTTCTGTCGTCAGTTTGCGGCCCCCGTTTCTAATTGTGACCGCGGTATGCAACTGATGTTCAGACTACCTACGTACAATAATACGAATAGTAGAAAATAGCAGCGCCGCTTTTTTTTTTATTTCGTACATTCGTCGTTTACAATGAGAACAATTACAAATCTTAGAAAAGGCATTACGTTAGTCGTTCGAATTGATAGATTAATCGTCGATACTTGCGATAAAATCGTACATTTACACATTAAAGTAATTGCGAAATCCTGTTATCGTCCCACCAGTTGTTTCATTCATCTGCGTACGATTCATGTGATAAATTCGTGTTTCTGTGCCATGTCATGTTTCGTGTTTCGTGTAATGAATTTACGTGAAATGTGTTATGTTGTTTACGTGTTAGAGTATCATTTGATATTTCTAGTTTTCTTGATTAAAATGTACGCGTGTAGTGTGTATCTGTACATGTGTAATGTGTGTCGTATGTGTTATGTAGGTGATACAACGTGATATGTGTATAAAGTATCGTGAGCTTGTATGCATTACCAATTATCGTTCAACAGGATTTCGCATTTACGTACACACGTAATACAATACATTTCTAGTAACCTATTTTTTTGCTCGTACAATTGCAGTCTTCAGAGTACATTTTTTAAAGTCAGATAACATAGTTCGTTGTGTAAAAATGTTTTGCCACCTGACCACGAAGATACTCCTCGATAAAGCTTTTTTAGTCGGTTCGAATTTAGCGTAATGATTTCGCGGTCGTACATCAAGCGTGGTACTTCGAGATCGATATTTAGATTTTAAATGAATATTTGTACCTATTCCACCCTCGATAACGTATATTTTGTGCGTTCTTCGAGATCAGGAGTTTACATGTGTCGAGTGTTGCCGAAAGAACCGAGGCCTGCTTGACTAGCCCCTTTGTTGAAACCCATTTGCAAATTGAGTTGGCCCTCGCTAGCTCGAAGTTGTTCTTCCGTGAACGTTCTCTTGTTCTCCTCAGCCATTTTCGGTCCCAGACGCGGTCCATTATATTCAGGATGCTTCTGCGTCTGCATTGGAAATTGAACACGAGAAGAAATTAATATACAATTGATAAGTCTTTGCAGTCGAATTAAGGATACGCACTATTCTACCCAGTGCGTACAGGCACAGCGTAACCTGTGGGATGTTGCGTCTTTCGAACAAGTCAGCTGTTTGAAAGATCTCTTCTTGTGGAACACCATAATTCTTGATCGCAGCTTGGAATCTGTTTAAAAATCCCCAATAATTATTGATCGAAATATTTATTCGTTTCAAGTTCGATCATACCTCTGGACGTTCTCCATGAGCTGGAAATTAGTTCCTTTGCTTTGGATTTTCTTCACCGATCCAGGTGCTAGTTTATTGATGAGCTTGCAAAGAATTACTCCATCCTTGAGTATATCTTCGTAGTTTCCCGGCGGAAGCTTCTCACCTAGAACCGCCTCGATCCAGGTCAACACCTCAGCCTCTTGCTCCTTGTTGCGTGCCTAAACAACCGGAAGTTTATCCTTCATCGACTGCATCGGTTCAAAATTAGAACGGTTAACGGTAGACGTCGGGGCATGGGTGCTGGGTGTATCGCTTTGAGGGATGGTCCAGCGAAGTGTTGCGGGGCAATTTAAAAATGTCGGTGACGGAAATAGACCGCGATCGGTGTTACGTTACCCGCGGTAGCATAAAGCGGACGTCGAAAATAAAATACGTCGACCGATTCGTTGGCTTTTATTAAAACTGGCAAGAACCGGGTACTGTGTTCGGCCACCTGTTTTACGTGCCGTGTGAATACCGTGTTTTACTGATTTCTGGTAAAATCGTCGATAGGACGAAATTACACTTCTGGCAGTTTGACAATTTGCACGCGCACCTCCTTCTTTTTCGCAATTCCCACCGTCAATGAAATATTCTTCATCCTACGAGGTGATTGCACGATGGAACAATTTCGAAATACATGAAAATGATTTTCATGTGTTCTCCTTTCATAAGATGTGACCACATTTAAAGTAGAACGAAATCTCCGCGAACATTCAGTTAATTTATTGTCGATTTAGCGATGTCAACGAATAATTAGCATAAATGTAGTCTGGCAACGTGCAGGCTTGACTTAGGGATTTTGCTTATTTAACGACTGCCTATTTCTATTCGATCGAGGAATTGATGGCAAGTCTTGCGAGGTGATATCTGTAAAGTGTCAAGCTGGTTCGAAGCAACGTGTTCCTCGTCGAACGCTCTCGAGATGTATTTTCAGCTTCATTCTCAAGTGATGCTGCGTTTTCGTTCAGACTCGGGCCCGTATATCAAGGACGTATCGTGAACGTGACACTACTCGCAACGATTCACTAAATTTAATGTTAAATTACCCGAGTCCTTCGCGTGTTCTCGCTCCAGCGATTTGGCCCCGGATCAACTCGGACATCTGTGCTGAACGTTCGCATGAATGATGCTCTTACCCCAAACTCGAGCGCGTTTCCTCTAATTAATATTAGCAAAATGCAATTTTTAAAATAGGGAAACGTAGTATTATGTCTGGCTTTTAAATATAGAATACTTTTTCAAATGCATAGATGAGAACATATTTTATTTTAGAAGACAATGGGCTGATTTTTTGACCTGATATTTTCACTAGAAGACCAAACATATTACGTAAAGGATATTTATCTTAAGGTATAAATACTCCGGATGCTATGGAGGTGGATAGTCCATACGTCAAAACCAATCGGCAATACAGACCGTCGTTTTACAAATGCGCAAGTTCAGTCGTCCAATCCGTTTTCAATAAAATAAAACGAATTTTTCCAAAATCTTTTAATTTTGTATGTACATTAAGATTAATCCAGGGAAAATCGCCAGAACGAAATAGCCCAAGGTCTACTGTAATTAGAATTCTGCGTATAACCAAGATTTCGCATGGCAATAATAAATCATTATTTGCCAATGAGACTACATCGGAGGAAATTATGATCCTAATTGAATTTTTATTTAAAATAGATTGCGGATTTTTATGCAAAGTAGAACTTTTATTGATTCGATAAATAAAATCTAAATGGAGATTTCTTTGATCTTTAAAAAAAATAATCATTACAATGCATGTTCTTTTACATTACATGCATTCTTTATATTAAATGCATAAAATCTGCAGTCTTATAGTAGAAACTTTTCTTGCATGTTTTCGTTTACGTCTTTCTCAATTAATAATAATGATCTCGCGTTTATCGTTAATCACTATCCCTTCGTCGGAACGGTCACTTCTCGAAAGGATGAACACGTACCGGCATATTTCTCCTCTTTCCCTTTCGCTGAACGCTGTTGAATGTTCCTCTTTTCTGTCACTAAGACTGCGGTTTCCCGTATGAGAACAACTTCTGAAGGATGACGCCGACTTAAGACTAAGTTGGACATCGTGCGTCGCGACGCTATATGCCGGTCTCCCCTCCGCGGTATCGTTACCGCCGACATTCAGGAACGAATGTTTTTTGGCCCACTGCCCATTGGGTATTCCCACACCCCCACGTGTAACCAAATCTTGACACTGTGGCCCTATTTACAAGACTTGCTTGTAACATATTTAATAATCAAGTGCAAAATCATTTATCTAAATTATAATCCTTTCTTTAACGCGGTGAAAGAGTTAAGTGAATCAAAAATGAAATATTATAGAATTGGAACTCCGTTTAGAAAGCTTCATTAAAAGTGGAAAATAGAATGAATAATGATTGTAGGAACAGATATACACAGATTTTGATGTCTATGATAATAGCCCAGATCTTGCGTTTATTTCTCTGGTTCAAAGACTCTTTTGCTATGCCAATCATAACTGGTACACGCGAAATGGGTCGTGTACCAAACTGGGCTGCTTATTTTTGCATCCTGCTCTTAGTTACTACTGATTCTTCGTTTTTCTTTGCGATCTTCTCTTTGATGTTTTATAATTCGTCGACTCGTAATGAACTTAGCCGCGATGTAACGGCATACCTAATTGTAGAATTCCCGAAATACATACGGTTAAACATAAGAAATGGCGTGTGCAACAAGCGAGAGTCTATATAGAACTATAGAGAGTCGAAAGTTTGTGACGTTTCGTTTTAACATCTTTTCGAAAATAGACAAGGATTCGGATGATCTATTGTTGTGTATTAGAAAATATCGGTAGTCACGGCTATTTGTCGCTCATTGTTAAATACCGACGTAGACTTGGGAAATCCGTGATGGAAAAGTTCGAACAAGTGGGTGTGCTTCGCGATGGTTAGCCGGTACACATACGTGGACTGACGCCAGATGAAAGACGCCGATAAGCAAAGACGCTCGTAATTTCTGGACTCTGGCCACTTCGAAGGGTGAGGCCACCGCCGAGTTTAGATTCCGTCAATCGACGCTGTTTCCAAGTTTATCGTATAACAAAACGGAGTTGCGTACACGGCTGGAGCCGAATGTTCGTGCCGCGTGTTGCGTAACCAAGAATTAGATCGATCGAATCAACAAGCTTGCTTCTTCGGTCTTTAATCTACGTTTCATTGTCAATCCTTCTGACTACTAAAATTTCCAATGCTTGTACGTTGTATCCAATCATTTCTTTTAATAATTTAGATAGAATCACTAATTATTAGTGGACTATTTTTATAAGGAAATTGAGGAAATGGAAACATCGTATACGACGCATAAAAATATTAATAGAAAGTGTAGACGTATCGTTAAATTTGACCAGGTCTCACTGAAAGTTAAGAATTCGAATAGGAGCAGATATCATTGATTCGTTCCCCTGAGAATCGAATGCAACAAGTAGAAAGATCATACGTAGATCCGGAGAAAAGAATGGAGTATGACTGTACTGCGTGGTGTTCTTCGACGTGTACTTAGCGTGCTACCTCCTATCCTCGTGTTTTCCTACGACAATGCATTTCCAGCAAATACTTAACGCATCCCTACTTGCATTCAATTGCAAATACACTGTACACGAGTGGCACGTGGAAAATGCGTGTTCGGGAGCGAATGTATCGTAAAAGTATATTGATAACTTACGAATGTTCTTGATGAGCATTTTATAATTCATTTTAATCCGATTCAATTGTATAGATGAATTGTATTTATTGTCTATTACATTTTTATAATTATCTTATTTCTGAAATAATCTTTTCATGTACTGCGCTTACGCGCTTCCGTTAGTACTTCCACTTGTTGCCAGGTGGCGTCGAAGAAGGCAGAATTCTCACTGTCGACATGGTAACACAAATGCTATAAGTAGGGCAAAAGAAGTTTCAGTCGTCAGCTTTGCGCAGTGGCGATATCGTAACCAATGAGGTTCTACCGAGGTGCGATTATTGCTAGTTGAAAACTTTTACCAATACCCCGCCATGACGATGTGAAATACCATCGGCTACGGCAATTTTTGAAAGTTTCTGCGGAAACTGATTATCTTACCTCAAAAATAAACTATCACGGATTAATGGAAATTAGTCTAACACGTGCGGGCGCAGCTATTTTCAGACGACCTGGCTTTCAAATAGCGTAGACTCCATTAATCATGACAGGAGAGTCATTAGCACGCCACGCACGAAGCATCGAGTATTAAAAAGAATATTAAAATAGCCGCTATTAACATTTCGGTTGCAGGTTGCTGGCAAACGAGAACCGGAGCAGGAAGCTGAAGCTCAGCACTGGTTAGAGACAGTAGTAGGGGAGAGATTTCCTCCAGGTACGTGCTATTTAATTATTGTATAAATTGATTAATTTTAATCAATCTCCTTGAAACGCGTCGCGCGCTCGTATATGAACTCCTGTTCATCGGAGGTGGTGAAGTTCGAAAAGCGTGTCGATATCACCACCCCCGTTCAGGACCAGCGCAACGTGTCCAAGAGCCAACTGCAACCCTATAATTCCCGGGTAACAATGTCAGGCCGCGTGACGTCGCAAAGGTTAAACTTGTTGGCCGGGTCAGTTATTGGGATGTCTAATTGCGACGTATAAAGCAGGGAATATAAGAATAAGAAAGACAGTTAAAATATTTTAAGGGGGGGTAAAGGGAAAGTTTAGTGTGAGTGAGTGAAAGAGAAGATATACTTGTGTGCTCGTAACGTGTGTGCACGATTATTGATCGAACTGGAATTAGGAAGGAGTACGTAAAGGTAAGATAAAGTAAAGGTGGTTGGTTCCAAGGGTTGTCAAGGCTAGCCGCATCCTTCGTTTGTCGATGTTCTCCTAGTAAAACGCGCGCTTTGTTACGTCATTCGAGTCACCCTATTGAACGGGAAGAGGGTAGCAACCCCTATGTCGAACGTGCATTCCTGGTTTGAGAAATACGCCAGGCGTCGACGCGATCGCCGTGTCCGGATGTATGATTGCACACCTCGACTCTCGTAAGAACCAAACGTACAAGAATAATGTATGAAAATCAAATTTAATTTTTCTTCTTCGACGCTGCAGTAAGAATTTTAATAATCCATTTCAGCGTTTATGAAATTTATTTCAAACTAATTATATATAATTATTTGAAAAGATGATGCATACTCTTGTTCGAAAATTTCGTTGTATAATAATAGGACTACGATGATCACGATGAGGTCGAATTCTGCATCGCGAAGATTATATATCAAGCTATTACATAGTTCCACCCACGGCAAGGAACAGCTCCGCACGAAGATACGAGCCGGGTATTCGGAGCTTTTGATGTTATTGACTCGTTTAAAATTGAACTTGGACTTCCGCCATTCGGTCGTCGTCGTCGTTGTCCATCCCCTTTTCACCCTTAACTTTAGCGGCCGTTGCTATGACACGCGATCGGAATTCGATACGTTCCAGGATTCCCGAGTCCTTCAATTATCGATGTTAGCCTGTTCCTGGAAGCTCGTGAGGCATGCTGGACACGACCCTTGTGTAGCGTCTCACATATTTCCGAATAAGAATAATTATAATATTTCCAACTGGTTAAATTAATGGTTAAAATTCTTCAGTGATTTTTAACAATTATTTGAAAGGAACACTTCAAGTGTTTGATTGAAATAAATTGTAGAAGTGCAAATAATTGCTAAAAACATTTAGAATGGTTTCATTAATTTTTTAAATCAATGAAATATCTAAGGTTATCTGTGAATGAAGATTACAGTTTTAAAATATACAGATTGCATAAATTTAAATATTGTAATAATGATTAGTACAAATGCGAAGTTCATTGTCGTTGGTTACACACGCGGAATGTGAATGCTTCTCATAATCAGCTGAGAATCTCGTTAAACGACGTTCAACAATGATAGTAGCCGACGGCGTGTATTGATTTAGCGTCATCTGTTCATCATGTTACGTCGTAAGGACGCCAACGTATCAGGGCCGCATACAAGAGCTCGGATAGTTGAGTCAAACATCGCATTGTGTCATTTCTTGTTTCCTCGCGCACTCTTTCTAAGTTCCCCCTTCGTGAAACGAACTGAACTTCTCACAGTGATCCGAGTGTCTTATTGATATCAATTAAATACAGAGCAGATCATGATCAGAGATGATTCCCGAAGGCTTTAAGAAATTTAACTGTTGGTATCAGAGAGCTGATCGATTTGTCAAATTTAATTATGTGCCTTTCCTATCGAGGGCGATCCTTAAGGCTCGTCGGGAGAAACTAGGAGGGTTGCGGGGGCGGAAAGTGTCAGTCATCCGTTCGTCACAGTGGCACAAGTTGCTTGCTCGCATCAGGATACCAGCAGACGTTTGAGGGATTTATGGCTTGCCCGCCACGTCGACGTCAACCTCGGCGTGCCGATTCTCATCCCCTTGAAACAGTTACCGGGGCTACCCTTTCTCCCGATTCAATATTTCTTAATTTCCCAAGGATCGGTAAATGGGAGCTGTCGATATGTCGAACCGCTCGTCACGAAGCGTTGCGTGACGTCACGAAAGCTCGTAGTTACTAGGGTAGCAAGTAGGGGTAGTAGATAGATTTATGACTTTCCCGCCGACCAAGAGTCGTACGTTGTACTAGCTGCGGTCGTTCAGAAAATAAGAACGTTTCCTCCGGGGAAGGAAGGCTCGTCTCGATGATTTGCTTGACTGAAAGGCACCGAGGAGACGTCAATGGGTGTCAGTTGTCCGTCAAAAGATCGTCAATGACGTCATTCTGAGACGAGCCTACCAGGATTACAGCCCGGGGGTAGATTTACGACCGAGAGCAACAGGTAGTTGCCCCTGTTTGTGCTCCTCTCGTGCCTTGCCTAGAAACGAGTGCAGAAGAATTAATTTAAGTAGTTACTGTCACAAAAACGGAGGGAAACTGGATTCTGCGTACGAGAGGATTCGTTCCCGCGAGACCTGTTGCTTACTGCGGGTCGTAAATTCAGACCGAGGATGTTGTCCTGGTGAAAACCGTGTGTTTGACGTCTTTATGACATGAAACTGACGTTAAATCGATACCGAGACAGGAAACCGTTGCTTTCTCACGTTCTGTACGTACGAAGTACAGAGTTCCTTCCTTTCCTTTCGAACATCGCATCACGAGAATTCTTATCCTCACGTCCCTAACTACTGAATTTCCAATTTGATTCATGCTAATCATGCTTAATGATTAAAGTAATTAAAAAATAGGACTCGCCCTTTGTGCAATTTCTGTCACACAATTTTGTTCCCTAAAATTCTGTAAACGCAACACGCAACGGTATAGGTACGATCCAATGAAATTATCATTAAAAAACATATTATTGACGAATATTGGTAAGTGGAGCATGTTTAAAGTGGTTTTATCGATTTCCCATCAAATTGTAGAGACATGACGACTGTGACGTGTCAACGTAACAGGATAGTATCCTGGATAGCAATAGTTTCCGAACCACCAATACATATTACATATTGCGATTCGATATTTTTTCAACGCACAGCGTATCGGGATAGGAACGAAGACGGCGATAAGACACGCGGCGTCTGAAAAATATCAGGCCAGCATCACTTGGCCGGGTTCGATCGAGCGGGAAAGAAACCGGGCGAGAAATCGTGAGGAGACGGGGTCTACGCCTCTATCTGGAAGACGTTCTATCGATTTTCTGTCATCTTCTTGCGTTTACGACATCTCATCGCGTTTCGATGCTACCAGGAACATATCAGCATGTCACGCTTGTTTACTCGGATCCGCGCCCGTTCATCCGCAGTCGGATGCTGCGGCTGTTGCCTGGATATTGTGGAAAAGCAACTGGTTCGCTCGAATCATTTAACTCGTGCAATTGTGTCCTGTACTAAAACCTTATTAAAGCCCTAACGTTTACCAAACGCATAATAGCTAGACTGATAATCTGTCGTTCAGTTGCCAAAGATAAAAATATGTGTATCGATGCATTAACAAAGATACTAATAATAAGTATGGTTTCTTGTTTAATAATAGCATTGAAGATCAGATGAATAATTCATAAT